CCTGCCTACTGGTCTCTGGGATTTCATCTTTCCCGGTGGGGTTATGGCAGCATTGATGTTTTAAAGAAAACTGTCGATCGCATGCACTACTATGATATCCCATATGTAAGTATGAATTTTTCACTGTGTATGCTAATTTTACAATCCAAAGTGAGACGAATAAAATTATAATAGAGGAAAAGTGATTATCCTACAAAGAGAATTGTAGAATAAAAGGGTGTTCATAATCTTATGTAGTGGTTTTGCATGTAATGTCTTTATAATGCTTAAAAGAACACTTAAAGCGGGCTTTGAACATGAGGTTTAAGTGCTTCTCTTGGCTGCATAGCAGGCTATTCTGATGTGGATTTACTGTTACGCAGTATGAGGTGCTAGCATTTAAAAAATAAATTATGGTACTTCTGGTGCATATCACTGCCAAACTGTTGCTAAACTAGGACTTTTACATTTCCATTTTGTCCATTTTACCATGTAAGTTTATAGGAGCTGAATTTGGCCTGACAATTATTTACAATTATTATAGCCAATCTCCTAGATTTCATTTCATATGTTAGTTACCTTTCAGAAATGCAGCTGCATACATTCTGATTTCTGTATCAAATACTTCAATCATAGAATCATAGAATAGTTGGGGTTGGAAGGGACCTCTAAAGGTCACCTAGTCCAACCCCCCTGCTGTGGGCAGGGACATCTTCAACTAGATCAGGTTGCTCAGAGCCCGGTCCAACCTGACCTGGAATGTTTCCAGGGATGGGGCATCCACCACCTCTCTGGGTAACCTGTTCCAGTGTTTCACCACCCTCAGCGTAAAAAATTTCTTCCTTGTATCTAGTTTAAATCTACTCTCTTTTAGTTTAAAGCCATTCCCCCTTGTCCTGTCACAACAGGCCCTGCTAAAAAGTCTGTCCCCATCTTTCTTATAAGCCCCCTTAAGTATTGAAGGGCCGCAGTAAGGTCTCCCTTGAGCCTTCTCTTCTCCAGGCTAAACAACCACAACTGTCTCAGCCTTTCTTCACAGGAGAGGTGTTCCATCCCTCCCTCTGATCATTTTTGTGGCCCTCCTCTGGACCCACTCCAACAGGTCCATGTCTTTCCTGAACTGAGGACTCCAGAGCTGGATGAAGTACTCATGTAATGTTTACTTTAAAAATGTTTAGGATGTCCAACATCTTGATATTGACTATATGGAACGTCGCCTGGACTTTACCTATGATAAAGTCAACTACGCAGGTCTGCCAGAGTACCTCCAACAGCTGAAGAAGGAAGGAATGCACAGTGTTGTGATTCTGGTAAATTAACGATGTTGCTAATTATTTCTCCATTTATAAGAACTATTTGCAGCATAGTGTTTATTGCAGTATCCAGGTGCTAATGCACGCATGCTATTGTAGCAGATTTTCCATTTTTGTCAATGGTTGAGAAGAGCTGAAGAACAATTTCTCACAGATTTCATATTTAAATGTGTTGCATTTATCAGATATCAGTGTCCAGTACCATCTCTATACCATAACATTAATTCTCTTTCACTTTTTTCCCACTCGGTTATGATAAATTTTGCCTCTGTTCAGGGCTGAGTTGCAATAGGATTGCTTTCATGCAATTCTTTCCCTGAAAATAAACAAATGAGTTTAATATGCACACAAAAATAGCTGAATAGTGGGAAAAATCTATCCATAATCACTCTGGAAAGCTAGTAACTACAATTCACATTGCCTTACATTTATTTTTTATCTAAACTAATGTAAGAGATGTTTGTTTGCATAAAATTTGTGGAAAATGTATGTTGAACCTGTAACCAAAATTGATGTATGACCAAACAAATTAATTTGGGCAGAAGTGAAAATCGCAGTTTTCCATCTTCCCCCGTCAATTTTTCCAACAAAGTTTGCTGTTTCTCTCCAGCAAGTCCCCATACATGTCTTCATGACGAAATTACTCTTTGTCACAATAGCTAAGTGAGTGCCAATAGTAGCAAGGAAATTGGAGATCAATTAGGTTGAAATTTAAATAAAAAATCAAATAAATTAAGAAATTAAATAAAAAGCCTTGACAGATGCATAAGACCTTGCTCTCCAGGGCTCCCTCAGCAGCGCAGTACTAGGAGGGCTGCACTCCCCAGTGCAGGCTGGGGCAGTTGCACCGCTGGGGAAGGATCGGGGTGGGAAGGCTCGGGAGTGCCGAGACCCGGAGCATCGCACGCAGGGGGCAAAGCATTGCCACAGAGAAGAGAGGCATAATTTGTTCTCCATAACCACTGGGGACAGGATGAGAAGATAAGTGGTTTAAATTGCAGCAGAAAAGATTTAAGGTAGACATTAGGATAAAGCTGCCTGTCTGCAAGGCGAGCCAAGCAGGGAGCCAGCTGCCTGGCGCCAGGGGTCCCTCCCCGCGTGGGTGCTGCGAACAGGTCCGACAGATGCATCAGGGATGGCTCAGGCTGAGCTGACCCACAGGGGAAGGAGGAGGAGACAATCCCACAGAGTCCCTCTCAGAACTTTTTGCTGTAATTGCAGTCTTCTATTTTCCAGCCTAAATGGTCAGCTTACACCTTTCATTTGGGTGCTACTATTCTTATTTACCTCAAACTGCCAGTCTCTTGTCCTTCTACTTTCTTTCTTGATATATTTATTCGAACAAGCATATTCTCCCTTAGCCTTTTTTGCTAGGCTAAACAATCTGAAGTATTTTATTCTCTTTTTATTGGGTGAGGTCTTCGGATCTCACTGTAGTAGCTCTCCCCGACATGTGCCCCAGTTTGAATGCATTTGCCTGTGTAACAAATAATTGGATTTCACAGTGCTCCAGATGATGCCCCCACAGTGTTTGGAGAATGGCAGAAATATTTCCTTCTTTCTGCTAAAAATTGTCTCATATGACAAAGCCCTGCATAACATTTACCTATGTTATATTGGTGGCTCATACTTGTAAGGAGACCAGTTAATCCAGCTGAATCATAATGGACAGTCCACTAATGTTTGGGCCCTAAGTTGATCCCATCCTTTTAAAACAAGGGCCACGTTCCTCATCTTGTCACGGGGGTTCTGTCAAAGGCTTGTGGAAGAGAGACTGAATAGTAGAGTCCTAAACTGTGGAACAGTTCCTCTTTCACTTGTGGTGGTGTGTCTGATGTTTACTGGAGTCAAGATAACAGAGAGCTACTGCAGTTTCCTCATCTAAAAATCACATTATCTTGTCAAATAGATAGATTAGGCCAGAAGTGCCTCCCTGTCCTTATTTTTTCCTCCGCAACTTGTTGTAAAGTTTAGCATATGACTGGGGATGGACTAGATACCCATATCAGTGTTTTCTTTTTAAAATACAGTTATGAGGTTTGCTGTTCTTCAGTCTGCTGGGATTTTTTTGGTAGTTTCATTAAAAATACGTGCTCTGTATTTATTATTGGCCTAATCTTCACTTTGTTGTACTATAATTGCATTCACTTCTAGGAATCTCAAACAAAACCACACAGCCCAAGTGATCAATTACATACTGATAATGGAAATAGCAGCCTATATCGTGAGCGCTGTTTGCCAGCAATTTGTCCTCAAAGATACGTTCCCATGAAGATCCCAGTTCTTCTGCAGCTGTAAATCGTGAGAAGCTCCAGGGTGCAGCAGTGAACACAGTTTCCATCAGTGAAAGTCCAAAGCACAGAGTTTAAACAGTAACAGATTACTAAGTCACTCTGATGGAGAGCAACTTCAAGACAAAACCAGTCCAAAATTAATGGGATACATCATCCTATATAACTAACCAAGTGGTAGATGAGCACATGTGCTGTCAGGACTGAGTGTTCTTTCCAACTATTAGGCAGTTTAGGCTTCCTGTATCCTCAATACTGCTCTAAAAATTATCTAATCTCTTAGAGCTGTAACATTAAATACCACCTGCCTATATATTGGTTTATCTCAAAAAAGTTTGAGACATGAGTATATCAGCAAAATACCATGAGTTTGGGGTAGCTTTTCCCATGCACACTCTTGCCCTTCAGTAAATACGTGGTAGTCACCTCTTTTTCATCAAAGTTAGGATGCTTCCAGTTGTTTTGCACTTGCTGCTGGGTAAGAAGCTACAGGCAAGCAGTCACAGTTTAGTAGGTGAGCTATGTTATCTTCTTACTTGTGAGTTTAACTTCAACAACATTTTTAAAGCCCTTCCAGTTTCTCAGATGGTGCATGCTAGAGCAGTGCAAGGAGCTGTTGCTATATAAATCTGAATTCAGCTGTTAGGCAGATGCAAGGAATATAACAACAATTCTTAATTCATGTAATGAGCTAATGGGAATCCAGATAGGAAAGCCCTTCTTTCCTCCTTCCACTAACCTGTAACTAAGGACTGTCTTCTGCTCTAGTTCTTTAGATAAGCTTGTGAAAAAGAACAAAAGCTGATCCAGTTTGCCCTTCGTTTTTTAAAAGCTAATTGGAAGTATAGGTTGAACTGGTAGTGAAGTTTTCTATTTTCACTTTATTACAGTTACTGATATTTCTGTTAAACTCTGACTGTTAGCATTCTTTAGTGATGTAAAGCATTCCCATAAGTTGAGTCAGGAGCTGGAACAGTATGAAGGGTTTCATTCCCAAGTGACAGCAAAGACATGCTAACTGCAATCAAGGCAAGCATAATCCAGTTTGATACCAAAAGAACAATTTTCTATTTAGATTCCCTTTGGGTAGTGACAGTAATGAGTGAGTTCCCAAGTGTAGCAGATTGTTGCCTCCCTCATGATGATTTCAGGAAATGGGCTCTGATTGCAGTCACTTAGTGTCATGTAAAACCTCTAGTAAATGGATTTGGGGAAGATGGGTTCACTCCGCCTCATCTCAGACCGCTATGGTCACAAGCAAAGTACAGATCCTGACAGCCAGCAGTATTAACACTGGTAACCTGCCTGAGGACAGGACCCTGGACTCAGTTGTGCAGCCACCACTGGGGTAGCTGGTGCCTCACCGTCGGGAAGTCCAGTCCCCACGCTTGCATCCAATGCTGAGAGCCCTCCGTGCCTATGGTCACCTTGATAGTAGCACGGCCCCATTACCAGAGTCTCTAAATGCAGTCCTTCAGCACTTCTCTCTCCTGATCTCTTTCAGCGGCCACCTCCATTTAACGGAAATTTTGTCTAAGAGTGTCAGTACTTGGGCATCATTATTGCGCTGAATAATGTGCATGCTTCAGCTGACTCAGAACAAATATATTCTTTAGAAACAGAGAAAGAAGTTACTTCTAAAAGTAACAATGACTACAATGTAAAATGATAAACATTATTACTGAAGAGGAGCTTTAATGAAAGACCTGGTATACCTTCCATTAAATCACACTAAAAATAGAAACAGCTAGGAATAACGAGTGACAAATTACTTAAAAGTCAATAGCAACATGCTCATGATTCAAAATAATGCTTGATAGCTTTAACATTTTAAAGACCAGCTCTATGAGCTGTAGAGGCTAAAATTTCCAGAGATGAGTTTTTATGGATGTGCGTCAAAATCTATGTCTGGGGCCATAGGTGGAAGTGTGTCAGTCTGGATACGTGCTGGGTGCCCCCAGGTCTCAGGGCAGTCAGCTGGAGTTGAGGATGCTCAGCACCTCCTCTCCAAGAGCTGCTAAAAAGGTGAGTTAGGGAAGATTTAACAGACATGAACTTCCTCCCCCACAAACAACCCATGAATGCACAGGCGGGTTTTGTTCTCTTTAGGATGATACTAAACCTGCATAATATATTAGATTTATGCACTAGAATAACCTTTCAGCTGAAAGAAACCAGAAGTTTGGATTAGGAGTAGCTAATTAAGCTGACTTCTTCCAGCCTTCAAGTCCCTTGAGAGACATCTTTTCCACAATTATAACATAATTATTGCAGATGGACAGTTTTCGCTTTTCCAAAGCTGAACTATTAAACAAGTTAAAAATGTAATGGACACTTATACTCTTTATGGAGGTGATGCTGAAGCTAGATAGTTAAAGTTGAACAGAATTTTGCACTTAAGGTAGAGATTTAGCAGGTTTGGTTTTTTTTTTTTGAGGCAAGGAAGAATATACTTTCCTCACCAGGGCTATAGCTATCAGAGGGCTTACGAGTAAATCAGGCAATTAATTTAGGCATTAAAATGAGCTTTAAAACATGCCTTTAAAGAAATTTACCATTTGGGATCAGATATTTTTTGTTCTTAAGAAGTTTATTAGTTAGACTTCTATCACATTTTAATTAAAGCTCACTTAAATTATTGCACAAGCTATCAGTGAATGGAAGAATTGTTTCAGTGGTGTTTTCCTCCATTGTGTTTCATAACTGTAAGGTTTTGGCTTAAGCAGAACCTGAGGGAATAACATTTTCTAAGAGAAAAGTAGAGAATTCCCCTCTTCTAAAATGGCTGCAATCTTCCTCTGTTCTAACTAACACAAAGCAAATAGTTGCTCCTAATTAGGGACATATTGCAAAGCGCACTTATCTCCTTTTAATCCCGGTTGACTGCTGACTAGAGTTGAATAGTATCTCTTCATTCACTGGCATCTCAAAGTGTTCCTAACTTTATTACTTACCGGCATGGTGGGTCACCGTCTTCCCCAGGAGCAGATTAGGCTCCCTTTCGATGAGCTTGGTGGCTACCGATGGCCATCCTGAGGCAGAGAAGCCGGTGGTGTCAATGCCACTGGCAGCAATGGGAGGTGGTGACCACCCCAAGCAGTGAAAGGGTCAGCAAGGATGAGCTATGGGGTGTAAAACGTTGTGGTCTTCACGCCTGGGGAGAACAGAGACATATGGCCCCACAGGTATGCATGAGTTGGGTTACTCTGCACCAGTCTGGCATAAAACACCCTTGTCTGACATTGGATATGAAGAGAGGGCTAACGAGGTCCTTTTGAGCTTGGATGTGTCCCAACTTCAAGCCCCTTGAGAAGTTTTAGTTATTCCAGCATTGAGCTGCTGACGCTGAGGCAGCTGGAATGAGGATTGCCTTGGAGGAAACCCAGAGGTGTCCAAGTGTGGGAATGCTCAGCGTGGCACCCCGTTCTGCCAAGCAGAGACCTCGGCAAGGGGGAAAGTAAAATCTAGTGCATCTCTAAAATCATTTGAACATAGAATGTCTATTAAAAAATAAACATGAGGGTATTTAATAATTTCACATCACTTTTGCCTTATACAAGAAATACTCATGACATATCTTTAATGACTTTTCCTAAACTATTTTGTGCTCTCAACTCTTACTAAATTTTAATGCTGTTTTCTTCCAATATTATTGCAATCTGCATTAAGAACATAATCCAAATTTTTCTAAAATATACAAATAGAAAAGTAATTGTTACCTTTGGGATTTCGATAATGGAAGTGTAATCACTGTTTTCAGGACCCTTTCATAACTAAGGACGAAGAACCGGGCACTTACAGGCCTTATGATCTCGGAAAGGAAATGGGAGTCTGGGTCAACAACTCCGATGGCATAACTCCTGCTGTTGGAAAGGTTGGTTTATTAAATTCTCTAATGCATTTGGTCTAGTGTGCTTCAAAGTGATAAAGCAGCTGTGTAACAGAAATGAGAAGATAACGAGGTGTTATACCTGTGAACTCTAGGCCTGGCCCCCCGGAGACTCAGTGTTTCCTGACTACACCAACCCCAGGACAGTTGAGTGGTGGACCCAGATGTGTCTGGAGTTTAAGGATGTCCTTGACTACGATGGGATCTGGATTGTATGTCTCATTATACTTGCCCTCCCTCCTTTTAAAAAAAGAAAATGAGGCTTTTGACATGTGTCTTTCTTACTCTCTTTATTAAAGGATATGAACGAACCGTCTAATTTCTTAAGAGGCCAGTATCCCGGATGTGCTGGTAATGATATCAATAACCCTCCTTATGTTCCCAGTAAGTAAAGCTTCCTTGATAATATTTTTTTTTTTTTTAAATCCTGGATAGGCTATTTCTTAGAAAAAAATTCGATCCTTTCATTTTCCTTTTTTCCCTGCCTGTTCCGTGTGTTCAGTTACATATTTGTTCAAGACTCCATTGGCTCAGCTTTGGTAGAGTATCAAACATAAGCCACTTTCCCCTGTCACTGGGGCTGCCTTGTAACAGAGCTAGAAAAATGGCCTTCCCTGCCATTCTCTGAGCAACTGGTTTGCATCAGAGAAAGGGCAAGATATCTATATACTGTAACTCAGCTACAGATTTATGGAAGGAGTAATCCTTCTGCCTTACCATGACCACTGCTAGTCCCAGGGATGGGCAGTCTCTGCCTTTTCCACAAGCCATGACAAGGAAGATGGCAACTCCCTGATGCCTTAATTCAATATCTTTTCTTTCTCTTAGGGAAGAAATTTTCATTGCCTTACTAGAAATGGGCTAAAAATGAGTTTAAAAATGCCCAAGCCTATGGGAGACTGATAGGAATGGGAACACCTCTTCCAGTAGCCGAGTTAATGACATGCTCATTCTTCCCCAGGAAGCCGTGAGTACTTACAATTAGTGCCAGTGGTCCTAGCAATTAATCCAGCCAACATTTCCCCAGGAAAGCCCGGCTGCCTGAGCAATGCTAATATACAGCAGGAAGTTGATACATAAATGAGTTCTTGACAGTGAAGTATTGGAAGTCTCCCCATTTTCCCTTCAGGCTGTTGAACTGTCATGTGAATTCTTCATTTTATTTATTGAATCTCATTTCTTTTCACTCCGAATACAAGAGAAACATAAACATGACAAAATATTATAAAAAGATTGTAAATTATTGAAACCAGAAGCAGAGCTTTTAGTTATGATATTGGTGTTTGCCCTCTTTGTGGGGAAACCACTGATTGTAACTTGTATACTGGCCCTGTGGGTCTTGTCATTGAGCAAAGCCCAGGAACTGATGAGACATTTCCACCTTTTCTTTAAGTTACCTCCATTTTTGTCAGCATTCAGAGCTGCAAAAAAAGGTGTGAGACTTTGGGGAAGATGGCCAAAACAGCAGAGCTCCCTTTACCCTCACAAATAAAGGACTGAGGGATGGACTCATAAAGAGGCTTCTGAGCCATGAAGCTGAGCTTTATGACAATTGGCGTTGAAGTCTGAGCCATTATAGAGGAGTCAGACTTAGAGACCTAGATAGCTACATGACATGTAAGGACAACAAGGGATGATGAAGACAGGTGTGTTTTGAGCCCAGTTTCTCTCTCTGACTTGCTCCTTCTCGTGCATGTATGCACCTACTTCTCCTTGCGACTCACAGTGTTGGTCTCCCTTCTGCAGACAGGAGCCTAAGGCATTTTTTCCAAGGTGTAGGAGATCTGTTTCCCACCAGTGTTTAAGGGCTTTCTTTTATATTCTACTTTATGCCAACACTCTGCGTGCCCTTGGCTGTCCAAGCCCTTGACTGGTGTAGGTGTGAGGTGGGACCTAAGCTGCTTAGTCCAACAAGACATTAGGACCTTCCTGGGCTTGGCAGGGTTTTGGGGACTCACTGTTGTCTTAGGTGACTGAATCTGTGCAACGGCCAGTCTCAGTGCCTCAGGCTTTTTGTCAATGTAGCCTTCAGCCTCCTTATCTAAACTGTAACCATGATTACACGTAACTGCGGTTTGAACTTCTAAAAACAGATGTCCTTCAAATCAGTTTTCTATAAAACACTTTATACTGAAGATTAATATGCAATTGTGAAATAACCAGTATTACTGAGGCAGAATACAAAATGCTCAGAATGAGAATGAAGCATGAAAATGTGACTCATGTGGCAGCATTTTCTTTCATATCCCACCTTAATTTTATGGGGCTAACAATTAAGTGCCACTGGGACATTAAGTGTGACTTTCCCCAGAACCTTAGTGTCATCTTCAAAGCCGTATCAGTCAAAGTTACTTGGAAATTGCCTATAAATTAAGTTATTTCTGATGCAGATCAGCCACACTGGAGTCTTTGTATCTAAAGATCCAAACACAAAGATTCCAGCTGTGGTGGCACAGCAGAGCAGAGAGGCTAATGGGGTTTCAGGTACAGAGAAATGCACTTTGTAGTAATGAACTGCAAACATACAGTAAAGTGCGATTAGGCAGTGAGATTGCTTGCTCACAAAGAAATATTTACAATAGTGCGTGCACCTAATTAAGCATGCAAAAGAAGAATATTTGAGAATCTACCTTCTCTCTTTTTTTGAGAGGATTTTATAACATTTTCAACTCTATCTCTAAAAATAAATACATTGTATAAACCAAACATCTGC